CGAGGAGCAGGGCGCCCGCCTGCCCGCCCAGGAGTACCGCGTGGCCGTGCTGGCCGGCCCGGGCGCGCCGCTGGAGACGCGGGCGCCGCCGGAGAGCCTGGGCGCGGTGTGGGTGCTGGCCGTGTGCCTGGGCGCCCTGTGCCTGCTGCTGCTGCTGGCCGTGCTGTCGCTGTGGCGCCGGCTGCGCCACGAGCTGGGCAAGGGCGCCAAGGCCATCGAGAGCACGCTGGTGTACCCCATCGAGCTGCCCAAGGAGCCGCCCAGCCCGCGCTTCGTGCCCAGCGCCGCCTCCGACTCGGACGAGAAGCTCTGGGACCCGTCCAGCTATTACTGCTCGGACGGCTCGCTGAAGATCGTGCCGGGCCACGCCAGCACGGCGGGCGCCGCCCGCTGCCGCAACGGCGGCCCCGGCGCCGCCTCGCCGCCCGCCGCCATCCCCGGGCAGCCGCTGCACTCGCCCACCCGCATCCACCTGGGCCCCCTGCGCGGCTCGGCCTCCAACGGCTACATCCGCCTGGCGCTGGGCGCCGAGGAGCGCCCGGCCTGCGCCGACCTGGCCGAGGAGCTGCGGCGCAAGCTGCAGCAGCGCCAGCCCCTGCCCGACTCCAACCCCGAGGAGTCGTCGGTGTGAGCCGTGCCCGCCTCCGCTCCGGGAGCCGGCGCGGGCGGCGCGGGGCGGGCGCGGCACGGCCGGCGAGGCATCCGGCTGGGGACGGGCGGCTGGCATCGGAACCCGGCTGGGGACCGGCGCCTGGCATCAAAACCTGGCTGGGGACGGGAGGTTGGCATCGGAACCCGGCTGGGGACGGGCACCTGGCATCAAAACCTGGCTGGGGACGGGAGGTTGGCATCGGAACCCGGCTGGGGACGGGCGCCTGGCATCAGCACCCTGCTGGGGACGAGTGTTTGGCACCAGGATCCAGCTGGGGATGGACACGTGGCACTGGCACCCAGCTGGGGATGGACACCTGGCATTGGGACCCAGCTGGGGATGGACACGTGGCATCGGAACCCGGCTGGGGACGGGCGCCTGGCATTGGGACCCAGCTGGGGACGAGTGTTTGGCACCAGGACCCAGCTGGGGATGGGCACCTGGCATTGGGACCCAGCTGGGGACGAGCGTCTGGCGCTGGCACCCGGCTGGGGTTGGACACCTGGCATCAAAACCTGGCTGGGGACGGGCGCCTGGCACCAGGATCCAGCTGGGGACGGGCACCTGGCACCGGCACCCGCCTTGGGGACAGGATTGCCACACTGGCACCTGCCCTGGGGACAGCAGGGTGACCCCAGTACCCGCCTTGGGGACGGCAGTGTCGCCACAGGGTGTGCCCCGTGTCACCCCAGTGCCAGCGCCCACCTTGGGGACAGGATTGTCACCCTGGCACCAGGGATGGGACTCCCACCCTGGCACCCAGGATTGTCACTTGGGTACCTTGGGCACAGGCCTGGCGCCGCTGCCCACCCAGCCGTGCCACCGCGTCCCTCGGGGGTCCCGGTGCCACCACCTTCGGTACGGTGTCCCCATGGAGGGACGGTGTCCCCATGGAGGGACGGGCCCGGGGACGCCTCTGTGCCCACCTTGTGCCCGCCGCCCTCGGGACGATTTCTTTGGGCCGATTTCGGGTTTTTCTCCCTGACATTTTTCTATCTCCACCCCCTCCCTCCGTGCCCCCTTGCCAGGGCTCTGTGCCCACCCTGCCCTGGCCTTTGTCCCCCCCTGTCCCCAACCCCTGCACGCCCCCCACCCCTTTTGTATAAGCCCCACCCCAGTGTAATTTATTTGTTACCGAAATTATATTTATTTGCTGTAAATACCTGAGTATTTTTATATTCATAATAAAAGGACTTCCAAAAAAAAGCCAAAAAAAGGCAAAAACAAATCTGGGATTTTTTTTCTCTCTTTCTCTTTTTCTTGGGGGGTTCTGGGGGAGTTTGGGGGAAAATTTTGGGGGAATTTTTGGGGGAGTTTTCAGGAGGTATTGAGGGAGGTTTGGGGGAATTTTTGGGGACCTTGGGGAAGGTTTTGGGAAAGCTTTGGTTGAAGTTTCGGGGAGTTTTTGTGAGAGATTTGGGGAGGATTTGGGAGAATTTGGGGGAGTTTTGGTTGAGGTTTCAGGGAGTTTTTGTGAGAGATTTGGGGAGGATTTGGGAGAATTTGGGGGAGTTTTGGTTGAGGTTTTGGGGAGGTTTTGTGAGAAATTCGGGGGAATTGTGGGGGAATTTTGGGGGAGGTTTGGGAAAGTTTTGGGGAGGTTTTGGGGAGGTTTTGGGCTGCCCCGGGCCCTCCCCCGGCGCTGAGCTCATGGAAGAAGCTGCGGCGGGGCTAAAAAAGGACAAACGCGGAGCCGTTCCCAGGCGGGGGGGCTCCGCTGGGACCGCGCAGGAAACGGGGGAGGGGGCTGGGAACGGCTCCGGGCCCGGCCAAATGGGGCTGGGGGCGGGCCGGCACCGCCGTGGGGGGACCCCAGGGACGCCCCAAAATAGGGGAGGGGCCTCCGGGAGCCCCATAAAGGTGTGGGGGTGACCCCTGGGAACGCCGAGTGGGGGAAGAGCCTTGGGCCCCCCTACTGGAGAGCGGGAGCGCTGTGGCTGCCGTTGCTGGTGGGGGTGGGGCTTGGGGACCCCAAAATTTTGGGGGGGGGGGGCGAACCCCGGGTCCCCAAAGGGGGCTTTGGGCGGCCGCTGGCGCCCCCTGGCGGCGGTACCGGCTGTGAATAGTGCGCATGCGCTGCAACGGTTTGAAAGCGGGGTCCTTCGGCTGCATTCGGGTCTTCCCGGCTTCCTTCGGCATTTTCCGGCCCTTTTCATCCTCTTTCGGCCCTTTCCGCCTTCCCTCGGCCCTCTCTGCCTCCTCTCGGCTCTCTCCGCCTTCCCTCGGCTCTGTCCGCCTTCCCTCGGCTCTCTCCGCCCTCCCTCGGCTCTTTCCGCCTTCCCTCGGCTCTGTCCGCCTTCCCTCGGCTCTCTCCGCCTTCCCTCGGCTCTCTCCGCCTTCCCTCGGCTCTTTCCGTCTTCTCTCGGCTCTCTCCGCCTCTCCTCGGCCCTTTCCGCCCGCCCTCGGCTCTCTCCGCCGCGTCCCTCAGCGCCGCCGGTGCCATGGCCGGTGGTCGCCGCTCGCCGCCCGCTCCGTGCTGCCCGGGCCGGGCGGCGATGCCCTCTCCGTGCTGCCAGGGCCGCGTGGCCGTGCCCAGCGTGCACCAGAGCCTGTCCGAGATGGACTTCGAGCGGGGTCCGGGGGGCTTCGGGGCTGGGGGCGGGAGGGCCGGGTCACCGCTACCGGCGGAGCTCCGTGTGGGGTTCCCGGTACCGGAGGGGCACGGCGGGGTCTCCGTGTGGGGTTCCCGGTACCGGAGGGGCACGGCGGGGACTCCGTGTGGGGTACCCGGTACCGGAGGGGCACCGGGGACTCTGGGCTCGGGTGGGGTAGCGGAGGGGGCACGGGAAGGGCTGGAGCAGCGGTACGGGGGGCTCGGGCCGGGGTCCCGGTGCCGGTACCGGGCAGGGCCCGTGGCTGAGGCGGCCCCGCTCCCCGCAGGGATCTGGGCGGCGGCGCGGGACGGGGACGAGGCGCGGGTGCTGCAGCTGCTGGAGCGGCGAGGGGACCCCGCGGAGCCCGACCTGGCGGGGTACACGGCACTGGTACACCGGGGGTACCGGGGGCACCGGGGGGCACCGGGGGCACGGCACTGGTACACCGGGGGTACCGGGGGCACCGGGGGGCACCGGGGGCACGGCACTGGTACACCGGGGGGCACCGGGGGCACCGGGGGGCACGGGGGGCACGGCACTGGTACACCGGGGGGCACCGGGGGGCACGGCACTGGTACACCGGGGGGCACCGGGGTCCTGACCTGACCGGGCACATGGCCCTGGCCCCGGGGGCACGGCCCTGGCGCGGGGGTCCCGGGGGTCTTTGGGGTCGGTCCTGCCCGGGGTCCCGGGGGTCTTTGGGGTCGGTCCTGCCCGGGGTCCCGGGGGTCGCGGGCAGTCCCGAGGCAGCGCCGTGCCCGCAGCACTACGCCAGCCGGAACGGGCACCTGGGCGTGTGCCGGCTGCTGCTGGAGCGCGGCGCCCCGTGCGACGCCCGCACCCCCGGCGGAGCCACCCCGCTGCACCGCGCCTGCTACCGCGGGCACCGCGCCGTCACCGAGCTGCTGCTCGCGCACGGAGCCGACCCCGCCGCCGCCGACGGCGACGGCAAGACCGGCCTGCACAAGGTGGGCACCGCGGGGAGCCCAGAGCGGGTGGGGGGCTCGGGAGGGTCCCCGTGCCGGGTGGGGGGCACAGGGGGGAACCCAATGCCCAGAGTGGAGGGGGCACAGGGCGTCCCCTGCCCGAATTTGAGGGGGCACAGAGGGGTCCTCTGCCCAAATGAGAGGGGGCACCCCCTGCCCAGAGCGGGTGGGGGGCACGGGGGGACCCCGATGCCAGGTGGGGGCACGGGGCGCACGCCCTGCTCAAATCGGGCGGGGGGCACGGGGCTCCTCCTCCCGCAGGGTGCCCGTGGGTGGCTCCCGGGTGCCCGTGGGTGGCTCTCCGGGTGCCCGTGGGTGGCTCTCCGGTGCCCGTGGGTGGCTCCCGGGTGCCCGTGGGTGGCTCTCCGGGTGCCCGTGGGTGGCTCTCCGGTGCCCGTACCCCCCGGCGGTGACACCGGTGCCCCCCAGGCCGCCGAGCAGGGGCACCGCGAGCTCTGTGCCCTCCTCCTGCGCCAGCGCCCGGCGCTCGCTGCGCTCCGCGATGCCAGGGGCCGCAGCCCGCGGGACGGGGCGCACCCGGCCGTGCGGGACCTGCTGGACACCTGAGGGGACACGGGGGCGACAGCCGCGCTCCCGGTGCCCGGCCCGGTACCGCCGCTGCTACTTCCGCGTCCCGCCCTCTCAACCAATCACCGCCCGCCTTCTCCCGTAGCCCCGCCTCCCCTCCCTGCAGCCAATCAGCACGCGCGGCGCCTTTAGGGGGCGGGGTTTCGCGGTGTAAACAGCCCCCGCGGGTGGGGGGGATTTAAAGGCGCCGCGTCCTTTTTTTAACCGGGCCCCTCCCCCGGTAACCGGGACCCCCCGCGCGGCACCGAGCACACCCAGGTACAGATATAGAATTTTTATTAACCCTTGCCCGAGCTCCCCAAAAATACAAATCAAACCTGAACAATAAATAGGAATTCCCCAGGGGGGAGGAAAAGGAGGGGTTTGCATAGAGGAAGATTTAATAAAAAAGTTTTTTTTGTTTTTTTTTTTTTTCTTCTGGCTTATTATTAATTATTAATTATTATTATTAATTAATTATTATTATTATTTCTAAAATCTCCCCGCGGAAGGAGCTAGGAACTGATCGTCGAGATGTGATTAACAAAAATAATTCAACCTTCTCCCAATAACTTACAGGAGTTCACCCAGGGGGAACTTTTGTGCTTATTTTTGTTTCTTTGGGGTCAGGCTCTGACCCCAAACAACCCCAGGGGGGTTTTGGGGGGACCCTCAGCCCCCTCCTGCCTGTACAACTTTGGTCACTAGCGCTGTGTCACCCCAAAAACCAGACCCCAAAGTCAGACCCGAAAATCCAGACCCAAAAATCCGGACCCCAAAGTCAGACCCTACAAAGCCCAGACCCAAAGTCCTGATCCCAAAATCCAGATCTCAAAGTCAGACCCCAAAATCCAGACCTCAAAATCCCCGGGCCAGCGGGGAAGGGGCTGGGATTCATCCAGGAGACCCCAAAACCACCAGAACGGGGTCAGGATTCCCATCCCAGGACATCCCAAAATGGTGGGGGAGACCCCAGAGGGCTGAGGAGACCCCAAAGGGATGGAATTCTCATCCCAGGATGGGTAGAAGATCCCAAAGGGATGGAATTGCTGTCCCAAAATGGTGAAGGAGATCCCAAAGGGATGGAAATCCCATGCCAGGATGGGTAGGAGAAGCTAAATGGATGGAATTCCCATCCCAAAATGGTGCAGGAGATCCCAAATGTTTGGAATTCTCACCCCAAAATGGTGAAGAAGACCCCAAAGGGACGGAATTGCCATCCCAAGGATCCCAAAGGTTTGGGGTGTCCATCCTGAGGGTCCTGGCAGGGTTGGGATGGATCCTGGCAGGGTTGGGATGGATCCTGGCAGGGTTGGGATGGATCCTGGCAGGGCTGGGATGTCCATCCCAGGGGTCCCGAGGGTCCTGGCAGGGTTGGGATGTCCATTCTGGGATTCCTGGAAGGGCTGGGGTTCCTAGAGGATTGGGATGGACTCTGGCACGGTGGGGATGTCCGTCCTGAGGGTCCTGGAAGGATTGAGGTGTCCATCCTGGGGTCCCTGAAAGGTTGGGATGGACCCTGGAAGGACTGAGGTGTCCATCCCAGATTTCCTGGAAAGGCTGGGATTTCCATCCTGGGGTTTCTGGCAGGGTTGGGGTTCCTAGAAGGATTGGGATGGACTCTGCCATGGTTGGGATGTCCATCCCAGATCTCCCGGAAGGGTTGGGATGTCCATCCCAGATCTCCTGCCATGGCTGGGATGTCCATCCCAGATCTCCTGGCAGGGTTGGGATGTCCATCCCAGATCTCCTGGCATGGCTGGGATGTCCATCCCAGATCTCCTGCCATGGTTGGGATGTCCATCCCAGATCTCCTGGCAGGGTTGGGATGTCCATCCCAGATCTCCTGGCATGGTTGGGATGTCCATCCCAGATCTCCTGGCATGGTTGGGATTTCCATCCCCAGGGTCCCCACGGCAAACCGAGACCCGAAGCTCCCTGAGCCGTCGGCGCCGTGCCGGCAGTGCCGGCGCCGCTCCGTCCATCCCAAACCGATGGAGCCGGCCTGGAACAGCAGCAGCCACTCCCAGCTCCTCCATCCCCACCACGCCTCCTCCTCCTCCTCCTCCTCATCCTCATCCTCCACCGGCTCATCCTACCGGGAAAAGGTCCCTGCACCGGGCACGCCGGGCACGCCGCAGCGCGCCGGCGCGGCCGGGGTCAGATGGAGTTCTCCAGGCCACTGTGGTTGCTCCGGCGGCTCAGGCAGTTCCTCTCGTTGAGCAAACTCGTGGTTTCGTCGGCCGGCGCCGGCGGCTCCGGCTTCTCCGGGATGGCCGGGTCGGCTTTGGGGGCGGCGCTGTCGGGGGACTGGGGACAACTGTCCATGCGCGAGGCCAGCAGCCCGTTCTGGTACTCCTGCCGCGTGATCTGCGCCGGGAGAGCGGCGTGGGACACGGCAAGGGGGGGATTCCCACCCCAAAACGGGGCATCGGTGGATTCCCACCCCAAAATGGGGTACGAGAACCCAAAAGTTTGGAATTCCCATCCCAAAATGGGGTACGAGAACCCAAAGTGTTGGAATTCCCATCCCCAAATGGTGTGTTTGATGGAATTCCCATCCCAAAATGGGGCATCGGTGGATTCCCATCCCAAAATGGGGTACGAGAACCCAAAGTGTTGGAATTCCCATCCCAAAATGGTGTGTTTGATGGTTCCCATCCCAAAACGGGGTAGGAGAACCCAAAGTGTTGGAATTCCCATCCCAAAACGGGGCATCTGTGAATTCCCATCCCAAAACGGGGTAGGAGAACCCAAAGTGTTGGAATTCCCATCCCCAAATGGTGTGTTTGATGGAATTCCCATCCCAAAATGGGGCATCGGTGGATTCCCATCCCAAAATGGGGTACGAGAACCCAAAGTGTTGGAATTCCCATCCCAAAATGGTGTGTTTGATGGAATTCCCATCCCAAAACGGGGCACTGGTGGAATTCTTATCCCAAAATGGGGTACGAGAACCCAAAGTGTTGGAATGCCCATCCCCAAATGGTGTAGGAGAACCCAAAGTGTTGGAATTCCCCCCCCAAAATGGGGCATCGGTGAATTCCCATCCCAAAATGGGGTAGGAGAACCCAAAGTGTTGGAATTCCCATCCCCAAATGGTGTGTTTGATGGAATTCCCATCCCAAAACGGGGCACTGGTGGAATTCCTATCCCAAAATGGGGTAGGAGAACCCCAAGTGTTGGAATTCCCATCCCAAAATGGAGTAGGAGATCCCAAAGGGCTGGCATTCCCATCTCAAAACTGGGTAGAAGTCCCCAAAGTCTTCTTTGGGGTTTCTTCCCAAAGGAATTCCCATCCCAGATGACCCCAAAATGAGCCCTCCAGAGCTGCTTGCTCATCCCAAACCACCCCAAAGCATCCAAGGGGACCCAATGGTTTGGGAATCCCATCCCAAAGGGTTCTCCCATCCCTGATGGTTTGGGAATTCCATCGCAAAGGTTCCTCCCATCCCTGATGAGTCAGGAATCCCATCCCAAAGGATTCTCCCATCCCTGATGGGTCAGGAATCC